AATTTGTCAATGACCAACCTGTTCCATTTCATCCCGATCAAAACGCCGTGAATCTTGAATAGCTTTCAGATGTTGTTTCAATTTCAACGTATCCTCGCTAGGAGCTGGCCATTCCTTCATTTGTTCTTTTGCAGCTTCCTGACCTTGCTTCTTCAATGAGCTCCAACTTCGTATTCACGAGCCAGACGAGCATCCTTTGCCTCCTGAATTGGATTTGATAGGATCTCAACAACTCTACAACGTTTGCTTGCTCCTTCATTGCAGCGTTACATAATCTTAGTCGACAGCCGGGTGTAACAAAAGGAAGCGGCATAAAGCCACCACTCGGTTGATTCTTTGTTGGAATGCGCCAGGCATTGCACTTCCATTCAAGACCGTAATGGCGCTTTGATGCGACTTGGCCCATAACGATTTGCGGGGCCAGTGATGAACAACATAGTGTTTCCGTTCTCTCAGACTAGCCTGATAGCTACAAAACACCCAAAAAGATGAAGGGCTTGATTGGCGACTTCGCTAGGACATGACCATTTTCCTTGACGGCATAATACTCTAGTGCAAGCACCTACCTGTTCCTGCGTTAGGTCCCAGTTTCGCAACTTCTTCAACTCTCTTCGTTGTTCCCAAAGCTCGAATAAACGATCATCTTGCCGACTGCGGAAACTAGAACAGAAAAAAATTCACAAGGAATAAAAATGCCGAATAGTTTTCCTACCTTGTTGTAACTGAGAAGTTGATATATGATGACTTTCATAAGCTCCAAACGCTCGATTGGTGTCAAATCAAAAACGGTGCTCTGGAAAAAGGTTACCCGAAAACTTCATAATCTGTAATCTATTAGAAGCAAACAATGAATATTTTACAACATACGGTTCGTAATTTTTCCATGGTTTCTGGATGTTTAAGCCGGTAAACAAAGCCAGGATCTTCGTATCTACAACAATTATAAAAACCACAATTCAGCTGCGATGAGATTAAGATTTTTGCGAATCCAGTTCTAAAATTACCCTTTGTAGTTCCCTCTAGCAAACAGGCGGTGGCGGTGAGTACTTTGACCGGTGTAGTAGCCGGAGGTGAGCAATACTAATCGCAGTGATTCTGTCAGGGTCATCCAGTCAGCTGGTATATGCCGAATAGATTGTCCTAAACAGCACTCCTCTTGAGAAAAAATAGATGTAAGCTCAATGGGGAAATTGCAGGAGGTGAAGCTTAATTGTGAAAGTAAAGATGAAAACTGCAGAAGGGCATTGAAAGGCCAAGAAAACCATCGTATGTTCGCGATTTATTGATTACTCACCATGTGTAAGTCGAATCTCTTCGTGTAAGAAATTCATCTCACGAATCTTCTCTCCATAGATCTTATGGTCTGGATCGCAATTTTGTAGTTGAATTAGAGCGATCTCGTCCTTGGAAGTCAAATCAGCTGAAAATATGTGAAACACAGTTCTATATTTAGCAAAGGGAAACGAAAATCAAGCATGTGACCACAAAATGATTTCGGTAACCACATCAAGCAATCTTTTTGCACTGAGAGCATTTAAACACATAAACTAGATTTTTGTGTGTAGCAGTATAAAACCATACAGACGAAAGATTCAAATGATAGCTCATAACAACTGACCTTCGTCGCCATCCTCTTCATCAGCACGATCTGTTCTGGCAGACAGTAAAATCTTCATGAGATCAGCATATGTGCTGTACTGCGGGTCTGCGCATCGTATGGCCATTATTACATCCGTCAGACTCACACGCGATTTGTTCCTGGAAATATTATGCTAGTGGAGAGCTGAAAATTGACACATAGAAAACACAATTTCTGCCTACACTGAACCGATAACTTCCTCATTTCTTAGTGCATAGCTGTTATATTTAAGCTATGGTCTGGTTCTATCACGACATTTACTTGTAGATATTTATTTGTGGAAAATCGTTTACTCATTACATGCAAAGAGATAGAAAAAGAGAACGGGAACACGAGTACGTACGAGGTTCTAGACAAAACCATGCTCTGAAAAAAATTCACCTCTGACTTCCTTGATAGGTAGAAGTTCCTGAAAAAAGTAGGATAATCGGAAAATGTAAAGGTAATCCGGCATACAGAGGTTGATATAGATATCTAAACTAGTAAATACCTGGAAAGCAGTGAAGAACTGTAAGATCACGAGATATTCGGATAATTCGTCATCGCTCAACCAACTCGGAAGGGCTAATGCCGGGAAAACCGGGAAAGCCTGGAACTAGCACTTATAAAACCTCATGATGAAGGAAACTTCAAATGGCACAGCTGCTATGCACAACACTAAATTGTAGAATTTCCTCTACAGGCTCGCACAAACTGATCGAACCTTGAGATCATCGCAATCTAAATCATCCCTCTTCTTTTGCCACTCATGCTTCGCTTTCATTTTCATTCTTTTGGCTTCACGAGCGAGTTCTCTCTCCTGAAATATGAGAATCAGCAGTGCCATGCGAATTTAATTTGAAAACTCCGATGTAATTCGTTACCTGAGTTCTCGAGGACTTAATTAGAAGTTTCAGCTCTGCAATGTCGCTTGTGCTCAACAGCCGAGTCTTTTGCTCATATTTAGACAAATCAACTCCGAATCTGCGAGCACTTTCAAATAAAGAAGCAAGCTCCTCTTGCTGCAACCCTATCTGAATAATTGAACATATTGAGATGTTCAAAGCCTCGACAACAAAGAATATCGTCTGTAGAATACCTGGTTTTTCTTTTTCTCTGTGAGTGCTCGAGGCGTATCAGACTTTTTTCCTTGAGATTTGCCCTCCTTTGTCGAACTTCTTTTTGGAGTTTCGCTTACACCTAAGACTCACAGACTCTATAAGCCAAAGTTCATCACTTGATACTGCACATGTAACAATTCCTAACCTTCAACACTTGGGGAATCCAGACGCGCTGAAGATGCTGACAAGGAGGTCGTCGCCGATTTCGGTTGACGTCCTCGTTGCAGCATAGGTGTTTGAGGGAAATATGGAAGTGGACCACCGCATATTGATTCCCATGTCAATGCATCAATTTCACTGAGGAATTTCTCCTGAAGATTGAATAGAAAGTTACTACGAGGAGCTATAATGGGATTTCAATCAATGGGTGGAAACTGAAAAAGTGAGATGGGAGAGTGACCAATTCTTCTCTTAGTTTTGATGACCAAAAGGAAACCATGCTGGCTTCAACAGTCTACTAAGGTCTGAAGCTAAAGCTGTAACTGCCTATGCTGACGACTGCAAGAATGTCGTCCGCTTACAGCTCAATCCATGGGGCATCATTTGCAAATCATGGGTGATCATGTCCATAAAGACAAAGAGAAGCAGTGAGAGCGATGATGCTTCATGTAACGTTCTAACAAGTGGAA